AATACCTAAATTAACGGGAAATTAATCGTAATGAGTAAAAAATGACACAAGAGATCAACTTTTTCCTGATCATATTTGAATGGTTCTCAAGCCTCAAAAAACAATACCATCAAATAAAAAAGCATTATTTCCGATACATGTCGGCAAGCGAAAAAATTGTCTTCGAGAGAAGTATATAACTTGTTATTGTGTGTGCGTGGGATAATCCAGATTTTGATAAAAAGTTCGTGTGTATTTCTGAAAAAACAAATTGGACAGGCCTGAAAACGTCCGTTATAAATTTTAGTCAATAAAAAACGTTTATATGCTTTTAGATATGTTGACAGCAGGGTGTACACCAAGGGTGTACTTGAAGATGTTCATTTTAAAAAGCGTGATGCGGTGAAATAAAAGAGTTTTTAGAATATTATTTTTTGTTGTCGATAGACTTCAAAAAGATTTTATATTATTTTATTAAAATATATACAAAATGTTTTTGGTCTTTAGAAAGAATTGTTCTGATTTGTAAAAATTTTGACGACATTTTTAATAAAAAATAGTAAAAACAATAATTTAATATGTTTTTAAAAATTTATCGGAAAATTAAAATTAAAATTCCTTTAATTAACAAAGATTTTTTTTCCGATTAATTTTTAATTCAACGGTGAAAAACTTTCATTCAAAATCCATTCATGAAACCCAAGTATCAAACCCAACGAAAACCACCAGTATTCAAAGCAGCAGTTATGTGTAATGCCGACCGACTAAAAGGGAGGCTCGAAAAAGAGCCCGAAATTTTTGCAAGATTCAAAGCCCTGGAAGAAGAAGTAAATCAATAACAATTTGTGAGAGAACAAGTGGAGATCATGTTGTCTGAGTTCTATGATCTCCCACTTACCCGCAAAGGGTGGATTGAAGATTTTAACGTGTTCATGGGAGGAGGGAGAATTGCGGGGTCACAATTGAGAAAGATATTCAGTACTTTGAAAGAACAAGGTGGCATTCCTCTTTTGAATCTCGACGAGAGGAATGCTCTTAATACTTTCATATCTAAGGGACAAGAAGAGAGAAAGTTTGTAACCCTGAGGGAAGCAACTGAATTTGTTATGACCACTTTTGGGAAAAAGTTGACAGTCAAACAAATGTCAAGTGTTGTGAGGAAGATTGGTGGTCTAGATGTTAAAATGGCAGAAACAATGGAAAAAGGAAGGGCTGAACTGGACCCCGAAGACGTGAAAACGTACTTGAGAAAGATGGAAAAGATGGTCACTGGCAAACACGCATCGATGATTTATAATCTCGACGAAGTTGGTTTCGACCTCTTTGTCGATGGAAAGAAGAAGGCAGTATGTGTTGACACGTTGAGTGGTGAAGCGGTCTATACTACACTGGGAGAACGTGGAGATAGAATCACCCTTCTAGGATGCATTTGCGCCGATGGGAAACCCACAAAACCAATGGTGATCACTTCTCGACTTCAACTTGATGGAAACGTGCTTATCAACATCAATTCTTCTGCAGTTGTTGTGACTCAAAAGGTTGGATTCATCAATTCCGACTTTTTCTTTGAATGGGTAGAAAAAGTCCTCGTGCCTGATGTGAAAAGGAAAAGAAAGGAGTTAAAACTAAAACGAGAGAAAGCTATCTTAATAATGGACGGCTTTAAAGCCCATTCAACCGAAAGAGTGCTTGATTTGTTAAAAAGGAATCGAATTGATGTTCTCTTTTTGGTTCCACACTCTTCACATATCTGTCAGCCTTGTGACCTTTGTTTATTCTCTTCTTTGAAAGCGCACCTTGCTAAAGATGAACTGATCGACATCGAGATGGGGCTTCTTGAAACGAGCGAGTTTTCTCTTTCTTCAGACCTGTTTAGCGACTTCGTGAATAAGAGGCAAAATATGAGGCTTTTTGCGATGTCTAAAATCGAGAGGCGAATTGTGTGCATTGTCGACTCCTTCTTCGCAAAGGCGCGCCCGGAAATCATAAGAAGTTCTTTCGAACAAGCGGGCATTGTGTTAACAATAAAGGAGCACAAAGAAGTTCATCTACTCGTGGATTCCAATCAGACTCGTTGGTACCGATCGCTAAATGCGACTTCACACATGCAGAGATTGAAAAGTTTTGGGAACGA